GCATCAAATACACTCTCTAGTTCCCACAGGGATTCTGTAGAGTTGGTGGTGTTTGTTTAATAGAGACTGTGGTTCAGAGAATATAGGGAAAAGACCAAGGCTACAGGGCCACCAGACCAGAAGAGGATTAAATTCTGGGCTGATTCACTCCAAAATCACCTGCTATGACAGACAATATCTCAAACGCCAACCTTTTCTCAAATCTTTTTTATGTGTCAGATATGTATGGGTGTATGTATTTCAAACATTTTTCTGTATAAGTAAAGGCTTGTGTGTGTCACAGGGAGCATGTGGAGGTCAAAGGACAATCCTGGGTGTCAGATCTGGACTTCCATCTTGTTTGAGACAAGGTCTCTTCGCTGCTCACCGCTGAGTACATCAGGCTAGCTGGTTCACAAGCTCTGGGGGATTCTCTAGTCTCAGTAGCCCATCTCTCCGTAGGAGCTCTGGGATTACAGATGAGCACTACTGTACCCAGTTTTCCATAGGTTCTGGAGATTTGAAATCAGTTCCTCATGCTCGCACAAGCACTTAATTCCCTGAGCCACTTCCCCAGCCCTCAACGCCAAGCCTTTTGCAATGAAGTTCCTTTGGCTTGAGATGGATCTCACTGTTCTTCCTTCCCATTCCAACTCATAATTTCTCCCTTTCAGCTAGCTTGTTCCTCCTGGCTCATAATCATGGAAGCCCCTCTCACCTTAGATCAAAGCCATGCACAGAAGCCCTTCCCTTGCCCCCACATTCTGCTCCCTTCCCTCACATCTCTAGATGTCCCCAGTTCCTGCTTTGATTCAGTCCCTCTCTGCCAACTCATTATACTTCATGGAAGTCACGGTGAGTAAGAGCCCCAACGGCCCTTTCATTGCCAGATTATGCCAGTGAGTCTCAGTCCTTAGAGCAAGTGACACTGCTGACCACTTTTCATGCCACGTCTATTGACTTAGCCACTCAGCAGTGTGTTTCACATGTCCCCTTCCTCTCTTTGCTGAAGAGCATTCCTGGCTCATCTTTATCATCCTCCATCAACCCTACATGTATATGGATGTCTCTCCCTTCTGATGCTCCTGGTCCTGACCTCAGATCTGAGCTTCAAGGTCACAAATGGAACTTTCAGATGTGGTTCTAAGTGTGTCATGGGTCTTTCACATCAGCACATTTGAAATTGGACTCATTTTCTTCTTCCAAATCTACTTCTCTTTTTTGTTGTTTTGGTTTTGGTTTTTTGTTTGAGACAGGGTCTTACTATGTAGCCCCAGCTGGCCTGGAACTCACTATGTAGACCAAGCTGGCCTCACTCTCACAGCCATCTACCTGCCTCTGCCTCGAGAGTTCTGGGATTAAAGATGTGTGCCACCACACCTGACCACTTCTTTTATCACCTCTATTTCAGGAATTGCCCCCCTGCCTTGCACTCAGATAATCTACTTAGTAACCAGTGGGTTACTAGGTAATCTCGAGCCCAGTTATGCCTTTATTTCATAACTTTCCACATACACAGCCACCACACCATGTCCACATTCTTCTGTCCCCACATACCACTTGCATCAGTCTTCTTCGCTTCATTCCTGTCGGTAATATCTCAGTTCAAGGCCTCCTGGAACCACTGCACTGTGGTCCCCTCTGATGTCACACCTGCCCATCCACCTTAGTGCACCTAAGCTAGGATGATCTTTCTCATATAGATGACTGGTCATTGTCTTAAAGATGTTGCCTATAGACCCTAGTCCAGCCTCAGCTCCTATCACTCCACAATCCCCTGACTCTGCTTTGGGAACCCCTGGACCCCCTAAAATATCTCAGCTTCCAGCTTTACCTTTACCTCCCTCCACTGAAATGCCTCACCTTTCCTTCTTCCCCTGAATTCCTACACTTGGCCAGAGCCCCACATCCCTCCTGGAGCCTTCCCTGACCTCCCCAGCTGAGCTGTGTGGTTTTGTTCTTTGCTGCCCACAGCATTTGTCACAGTCCCACCACCTGCTAACCATGTTTGTGTACAGGTATTGCCTTTCCCCTGGAGACAGTGGAGGCTATGCCTCCTGTGTTTTCACTGGGCATAACACCTGGCACATTGCCTGTTACAGTAGATGTGGCTGAATAGTAACACACAGGGCATGACTTTGGAGTGAGGTGCTTAACTCGACTCCAGTGGAAATTCTTAGAATTATACAACTTGGCAGTCAGAAAGAAAGCTTAGCCTTCTTGATAAAATGCACCCACTTCTTTGTCTGTTTGCCCTTTGTATACTGAGCACCTTCTTTGTGTCAGGCACTACTTACTACCTTCTGGGTACTGGGTTCCAAGATGAACTGGTCCTGGGTTAGAAAATCCAGGGAAGATCATCCCTGACCCTTGTAAGTAGGGGCAGGGCCCTCATGGTACATAGATGGGTGCACTCAGTCTTTATTGGGGGTATGATGGGACAGGGTCTGTTCTACCTCTAGATGTTGTGACCAAGGACCAGACCTTCTCTGGGTAAAGGCTCCAGGCATGGGCTTAGGGATATGGTCAGCAACAGCATCAAATTGCACCTGCAGCTGAGAATAATGACCCATAACACTGACTGCCATGGAAACAAGATTTTAAACCTCATGCCATAGGCACCTGTGTAATGGCTCCAAGACAGTATTCATGTCTGCATTCTGTATCTTTATCTATAGATTTGAATCTATACCATAAGAGATGGTGTGGGCTGTCAAGATGGCTCCGCAGGTAAAGGTACTTGCTACCAGGCCTAATGACCTGAGATGGATTCCTGGGACCCACAGGGTGGAAAGGAGATAACAGACTCCTGCAAGTCGTCCTCTGACCTCTGTACACACACACGCACACACACACACACGCAATGTATAACAAAAATTAAGAACTAGGATGTGCTGATGCACTGTTCTAGCTGTTCTGAGGAAGTGAAATGTACAACGAATCCAGGGATTCGGGACTAGCATCTAAAGGGCTTCGCAGTTCAACTCCAATCTTGCCTACAGGGCCAGCAAGATCGTAGTGCTGAATGGGGCCAAAACCTCAGCCCAGCTGGAAACAGCCCTGTCCATCTTCTGGTCCCCTGGTTCCTCATTCTGGAAGTTCCATGATGCACAAATTAGGGACCTCTGTGAGATGAGGATTGGCCAGCACAATTCTGACTTCAGATACAAAGTCTATCCCACCTCCTATGCCCAGATAATGTGCCATCATTTTAACTTTGTGTGATCTGATAGTGAGATCAGTCCTAAATCATGTGACTTTAAAATATTCTAAGCTTTGCAAAGTTCATATGATAGTTTCTGAGTCTGAATTGAAGCTAATTCACTGAATGTAAAAACAGATTAAATCAGAGAGCATAAAAAATAAATTTTAATTCCAGTTTTGAAGAAGTATTGCTTGGTTTCAGATGGGAAGCAGCCTTTTGTTGGCACTGATGTTGGGGAACAGCCCTAAAAAAACATCAAAGATAGTCACACACACACACACACACACACACACACATCCTGGCATATTCACAGGGAACACCCTCTGTCTTTCCCATATGCTGCGTGGAAAACCGAGCCAGAACTGTCGAGCACAAACTTCCTAATGAAAACAGCCGGCCAGTCATTCCCAAGCTTGAGGCTGGCTGCTGGGGCACCCGAGTCCTACTCTACTGCCTGCGCGGAGCCCCCTTGAGGGGTTCACCGAGTCCACGGTCCTTGAGACGCGTCCCGATCCAGGGAACAATCCCTCCATTTAGCCCCATCTGTTAGAAAGACTCGGGATTAGCCACCCAAGGAGTCACGTGTGACAAATTTTCGCCTTCTCCCGTCGGTGTTAGCCACCCCTCCCCCTCCAGCTCAGCATCCGGGCGCCGTTGCGGTGTCGCCTTTGCAGAGGACTGACTCCAGGGTCTCCAACCCGCAAAAGTCCCCAAGGGGGGAGGGATAGGGTGTCTGGCTTCTTTGTTCTTTCACCGGGTAAACTCAAATGTTCGAGATTCTCCAATTCCCACTCCCCGCACGTCTGCTCATTTCTCACACTGAGCTCCAGCCGTTCTGTGAGACCGTGTGCGTTCCCGGTCCGAGGCTAAGCGCTTCCCCATTAGCTATTTAAGTCTCCCAGCAACTCTTGATAGTGTTACTAGCCCTATGTTTTCAGACGAAAAGAACCGAGGCATACAGAACAACCTGGCACCTCTAGGTTGTAAAGCCCACGTTGGATTTGACGCCATAACCCTTAAATCTCCATTACTGCTTCTTGCACAGCAAGATGAATGCTTATCGAGCAATTACGGTATGGTCGGCACTGTGCAAAGTATTTTACCAGACGATCTCAAAGGCAGGTCTGCCACTTACCAGCCAAAGGGTCTTAAGTTTCTGAACGTATTTTTTACTCTATTTCACTGTTTGCCTAACGAGGCTTAGGATGTGGCTACTGTGGAGAAAGTGAATTACAACGTGCAAAGCACTTAGAACACAGACTGGCACGTATTAATTTCTGAAATGTTTTTCCCTTAAAAATCGCGTCCATTTCAAAGGGGGAGAAAACGGGACTTGGAGAAGTTAAACACCAAATTGGTTCAGGTGGCCTGGTGCTCATCTCGCAGCTCAGACCTGCTTAGCGGTCGCTTGAGATCCAGGCCGCCCGACGGTGAATTGCACCTGCCAGGTGGGAGCTCGGCTCCTCAGCTTCGCAGCAGAAGGCGCGTTGCAGTCCGGAGCCCTGGAACCGTGAGTCGGTCCTTAGCGAACACCCATGCTGGGCACCGATCCCCTCCAAGAGCTGCACGGAGGATATCTGCGGCCGGGGACTGACTGGCGAGGTCCCTGGCGCGCGCGCACACACACATACACAGACACGAATGCTGATCCACGGGGACATGCGCGCACACACACATACACAGACACGAATGCTGGTCCACAGGGACACACACACACACACACACACACACACACACACACACACACACAGAGGGTGGAGACACGCAGTGCTGGATCTTTGAGTTCCTTGACGCACACACACACACACAGACACGAATGGTGATCCACGGGGCCACACACACACACGCACTCACACGCACTCACAAACCGAGGCCTCCAGCCCGAGCTCCCCCGCCCGCCGCGCTCCAGGGCGGAGTTTCCTCCTCGGCTCATTGTTCGCAGCCCAGCGCCCGCCCAGCCGCCGCGCCGCGGGGCCCCGCCGCCGCCGAGAGCGCGCTCCTAGGAGAGGGGGCGGAGTGGCGCAGACGGGACGGGGCGGGAGTCGCCGCAGCAGCGCGCGCGGGGCGGCACAGCGCAGACACAGTCCGGGCCGCCGCAGCCGCCGCAGCTCCTCGTAGCTGGCTCCGCGCCCCAGCCCGGCTCTGCGGTAGGGAGGAGGGGCCGCGGGAGCGCGACTCGGGAGCCAGGGGCCGTCTCCAGGCCTCCCCAAGCGGCGCCCACGCTCCAGCCGCCCAGACGCGCCGACCTTGCGCCAGCCCGGCAGCCACCTGCTCGCGGCCCGGGAGCGAGAACATGATGCGCTCCACACTGGCGCTCTCCGCGACGCTGCTGCTTCTGCTCCTGCCGTCGCCGTCACTCTCCCAGGATGATGGTGAGTGGCCAGCTGCGGCTCCGCGGGGACCCTTATCTTGCCCCTGCGCTTCAAATCTGCTGCACCGCGTGGTCAGACCGCTTGCAGCCTGTCCTCCCGGGCCCTGACCTTGGCACCATCCACGCCCACTCCAAACTCCAGAACGCCGCAGGTGCGGGCCCTGAGTGTGGATTTACCTCTGGTGGCGCGTTGGGTGGCAAAAGGGGCACGCGGGCGCTCAGTGGGTTTGCGGGGGAAAGGGGAACACTCACGGTACCGGGAGGGTTTAGGCTGCCGTGGGACCCTCAGGGTGCGATTACTCTTTTTATTCCTGTTGGAGGCGATCAGGGACGATATTGCAAAGTCGTTGAAACTAAGGAAAACGACACGTTAGGGACTCACGAGGTGAGTCCCCGAAGCAGACGGCAAGCCTCTAGCAAGTGCTCACGCCGGCAGCGTGCTCACTGGTTCCAAGGGCTTTTTCCTGAGCCGGTGCTGGGGTAGGTGGAGGGGGGTGAGTAGACTTTCCGTGGTCCCAGAGCCACCTGGCTTAGTGGGGACCCTACCGTGCCTTACTGTTGCCCAAGGAACAGATCGTTTATCAGTGTATCACAGAAATGGGAGGCCCCTCCCACCCCTTTGTGCAAAAAGAAACTTCTGAAAGAGCTGCACCTTAGAAATATCAGAAACAGCACCCATCTCCCATTAGTAGATGTACCTTGGGGACAGTTCCACTATATTTTCTAAAGGGGGAATGTTACTTTTCTTTGAGAGGTCAGGCAGAAGCTGCAGACAACCAGAGCAGGTGTCCAAGAGCCCCTGCCCACAGCTGAGAGACTCAGCCCAGGAGAGAGGATAGTTCATACTGCTGAGCAGGTATCTGCAGGGGAACAGTGGGGAGGGATGGCTCCCATCTCTGGGCCTTGGAAGACTGGTGACATCTCAGATAGGAAGAGACTGTGCTGCTGTAGGTGCTAGTGTTTGGAAACTGGGTTCTACAGGAAAGGAATGAAAAAAGGCAGTGCACTCTGTCCTGGGCCGCAGGGCTGGTGGTGGGGAGGGCTGGTGCTCAGGATGTATAAGCCTGAGCCTCCAGTGGGTAGCTTGGGACTCAGCCAGCCTGACCTGAAAGGAAAGGGTACTCCCACTGGGGGAAGGGTGTGTGCCTCTCGAGGGAGGGGTACTGTGTGAGGGATGATGGGAACAACTTTAAGGAACAGTCTCTGCAGTTTGCCCAGTCCTTAGGGCTGAGAAGTTGCTGGAGTGTGTTGGCTCCCGGAAACCCTCCTCCTGAGGTGGCCGGACTTCAGGGTGTGCCTTCAAGGGTAGTCTTTGCAGGGGTGCCACCTAGCACCATTCAGAATTAGGTTTGTCCACAGTGCTTCTGAGCTGAGTGAGGCCGAGCCACTCTTTCTTTGAAGAGAACATACAGGCTGTGGGAAAGACCTTGCTGTCCTATCCTAAGCGGGCGATGCAATGGAACCATCAGTGGGAAAGTTCATTGGTTCTTTGAGTTCTTTGCTGATCTCAAGGCTGGGGGCTCCTGTCTGGCACCTAGGAACTGCCTAGAAACTGTATCTGCTATGAAGCCCTCTCCAGACCTCACACAGGGATGGTCTGAGGTCAAAGTTCCATATGTACTAACAAAAGTGCCCAGCACTCCATCCCTGTTCCAAGTAAGTCTCTTGGCCTCATCGAGCCCCAGGTACCCATTCCCCTAAATGCCATTATTACAGAGTGTGGTAACACAAATTGTAAGGAGACCTTGCAGTGATGATGGCCACAAGTGGTGATGAAGATGGTGATGATGACTTAAGCAAGGTTAGTAAAGACTAAGGAGTAGCCCCTTTAGGGAGGCCAGCTCCTCCAGGCTACTGTCCTCAGCAATAACCCTCCCCCACAATTGCCTGAATTCTGTGATACGATGCAAAGTACCATAGTTTAGAGTGCAAGTCTCTGACAAAGGATTTATCTCCAGACTGATCCCTTCTAGTTTACCTCCTAATCCCATGGTTTGAGTGCACCTCAAGGTAAACAGCTCAGGGTCCTTTCAGAGCTTTGCATTTTGCTCTCCTTTTGGCTGAGCCACACTGCAAGCCAGATCTTTGAAACTCCATTTTCCTATCTGTGAGACTGAAAAACAGAAGAGACCTCTGGTTCCACCATTATAAGATTTCTGGGTTTATACGTCCCTTGGCTAATGAAAGAACAGGCTGATTTAGGGCTGTCCACTTGACAGTCATTTAATGGATACATCCTGGTGGGAGAAAGGCAGTGTGGTGTGGTTTAAACATTCAGACTGGGTCAGACTGGCCTCTGGACAAGGGTCTATACCCACTAAGCCTGTTTCCTCCTGAAAGGATCACAGACCCACCTTGTAGCTTGCTCTCAACGTAAGTGATCACAGGTAACAGGTTTGGTATTATGCCCAGCTCACAGGCAGAAGGAGCAACTGCTTGGTTATTAATATGTATTGTGTGTATCGAGCATTTGATAGGGTTTAGACACCTGGACATCAGGATTCTGCTGATGTTTGTGTCAATGTGTAACTACTCCCAGAGTAGAGGAAGGCTGTGTGAAAGAGCTTAGAGGTTTGGGGGGCCTTGGTCGGCAGAGAGCTTCCTGGTGGCAGTAGGGTTTTCATATGGAGATTTTAAAATAAAAAGGGTCAGCATGGGGTGGGAGACTACTTCCTAGGGTAGCTGAGTTAGAATGAATTGTAGGGTGTGGGGGAAACTCAGGTTGGGGGCTGGGGTCTGTGAACTGCTGGAAAGCATTGGGGGAGGGGACCAGCTCTTGACTAGAGGGAAGGTTCTCAGAGGTCGGGTGGGGGCTGGGGTGTTTCTAGCAGACCCTGCTGCGACAGGACTCTGAGGTAACTGAGAGCAAGACCCAGGGTCCCAGCAGACTTGTCTGGGACAGGGCTGGGGAGAGCAGTCACTGAAGACACTGAGGCATTGGATGGGGCATGGCCATCCAGGGAGGGACAGAGGCTAGGAATTTAAAGTCCTCAGGAGGGCACTCTGTGTCTACAGGATGCTAGACACAGGTGAGGAGATCCTGGGATTCTGCCCTTCCTCCATCTCTTTCTGCTGTGCCTCTATTTGCATGGAGGGGGCTACCCCACCTGACTGTGGTTAGAGTCCTGCCTTTTGGGAGAGGGGAAGGGCTTTAGGATTAGAATTTGGCCCTTGGGTGGGGTGGGGCTGCTGAGTAGCTTCTCTGATGTGCTCTGTGGAGGCTTGCCATATCCCATAGCTTGCTGTCTCTCAGAGACCCTCAAGAACAGGGGAACCATGTTTGTCTCCAACTCCTGGGCCAGCCCAGTGTCTTGGACTGAGCAGGTACCTTGAGGGATTTCCTCCACCTGTTGACCTGAAGGGGTTCAGCTCTCTGAAAAGGGTGTCCCCACCAACTAGAATGAGGCGGTGATATCTAAGTGGGCTCCTTTCCTAGAAGTCTTCTGGAAGCCAGCTCCTGCTTCTGGCAGGATGGAAGCTGCTCTCCACCTCTGGAAAAAGAGGATGTTGTTGCTCCTGCTCACTAGTCCAAGCCCACCTGGACAGCCATCAGACCTGGGGCTGGGAGCTTTTTTAGCTCTGACTCCATTCCTATTTGTGACCATAGGGTATGAGACAGGGCAAGAAGCTTAGCTAGTAGGGTTGCCTGTCACATCCTGTTCCCAGGAGCACTATGAAGTGGGAGTCTGTTTCAGTCATGTGTCCCATCCACTTGTGGGGTTGGTATAGGTTGGAAGAAAGTGGCAGATCAGGGATCTTGACTCTCAGGGCTACAGAAGCCAAATGATTCTAAGAACTGATTTTGAGAAAAGCCTGGGGCTGGAGAGATGGCTCAGCAGAGAACACTGGCTGTTCTCGCAGAAGACCCGGGTTCGAATCCCACCACCCACATGGCAGCTAACAACTGTCCGTAACTCCAGCTCCAGGGAATCCAACAGCCTGTCCTCTGTGGGCATTGCATGACATGGGTGCACTTACACATAAAATAAAAATAATAAATAAAATATTTTTTAAAAAAGGAAAAGAAAAGCCTTCAAAGCCAGGCATGGTGGCCCACACCTTTAATCCCAGCAGAACTGGGCTAGCCTCTTCAAGTTCACCTCTGTGAGTTCAAGGCCAGCCTGGTCTGCATAGTGAGTTTTAGGCCATACGGGGCTACAGGGAGACCTTGTCTCAAAAAAAAAAAAAAAAAAAAAAAAAAAAAAAAAAAAAAAAAAAAAAAAAAAAAACATGAAAAAGAAGAAAAGCCTTCAAGAAAACCTACCCAAAAGATACATTATGGCATGGGGATGCAGGACAGTTGGTAGAGTCCTTGCCTAGCATGTATGAAGCTCTGGGTTCAGTCTCTGGCATCACATAAAGTGGGGGTGGTGGCGCATGCCTGTAATCACACTTGGGAGGTAGAAGCAGGACATTTAGGAATTGAAGTCCAACTTTTACTACACAGTGAGTTTGAGGCCAGCCTAAAGTATAAGAGATTCTGTCTCAAAAATTAAAATACAGTAGAACCAGTTGTCTAATGGTAATTTCTATACCACAGCCTACATAACCTAGAAAGTCCTAAGATACTGAATTCTAGAGTTGAGTCTTCTGGAACCCACCTATTAAAATCCACTCATTTTCTGAATAACAGGTGCAGACCACAGAGGTAAGACACTTGTCCAAGGTCCTAGGAGCTCCCAAGGGCTTGGCAGGAGACAAGTATGTACAGGCATGTGCAGCTATAGATAACCAGGAACGGAACTCAACCCTTTTGGGGCCAGATCTCTGCTGGGAACTGGAGAAATTTAGTGATAACACCTGAAATAGCCTTTAGCTAGCCTTTAGCTAGATCTTTCCTGTCCTGTCTGCCATCAAGGTAATCTAAGACTTAGAGCTACGTGGTTACTCAAGGCTAGGCATTGTCACAGTGCTGGCCAACCTATGTTGTGACTGTGTATGTCTGTGTCTCCAGTTGTTCTCAGCACCCAGCCAGTACCTGCAATAAAGAGACAAGGAGTT